AAATCCAGAAAGCAAAAATCCAATATTTTTCAAAAAAAAGAATTTGCTTTTAAAAACATATCAACAGAGTTTAGGACATGGGAGATGTTCAATAAATAAGTGTGCATAACATTTTAATGATTTATGCCAAGGTGTTGATGATAAAAAGAAGCACCAACAATGTATCAGTCAGGGTTGTGAGAGAAAAGGGATAGTACACTCAAAGGTATTTAATTGAAAATAATTTAATAAAGGGACTCTGTCTAGAGGTATTCGCACTGTGTATTCTCCAGTATGCACTGTGTGTTCTCCAAAAATGACCTGATACTTTTTTAAGCAAGATCGTTCTAAGAGAGCACTGTCTCAGTGAATTCTAAATCTTCCTTCTTCACATTTTCCTAACTCATTTAGTGCAAATGTGCAAGACATTATGATGAGTACATGGAAAGCTGACAATTTTTTAATTTATCTTTTTGGTCTCCCAGCCCACTGCTTCTCAACTCTTTCTATGTCAAGGCAAAGTTGGAAATTGAGGAGAACGGATGAGGCTTCTTCCCAGCCCGCACTGCCTCCTAGCCTGAGGAGACTGATTTCTCAGCACAACCAACCAATTGGGAAGTTGTGCCCCAGGCCCATTTCTTACTTTCTTGACTTTCTTCAAATACCATTTTTCTTCATACACCAAGATTTTTCAATTATTGACCTATATGTTTTGTTTCTATCTCACCTCCGAAATCACATATTCTCTATCCTTTGAACCACCCACCAGACTTCTCAAAGAAACGATATTATCTGAGTAAAACATGAGACTGGCTAAACCTTGATCTTATGAGGAATATTCCTCCCCTTCTGAAATCTCGAACTTGAAGCTCCCCAGTGCTTTTTTCAGTGCCCTTAGCATCGACCCTTCTTATTCATACTCCTCATTTCCCAGTTTGCTTTTTTTGCCTACTGGAGACCACCAGTGAAATGCATGGTCCCTTCAAAACGTGCTCCTCTTCCTTCAATATCAGTTATTAATATCACCCCCACAACCCAGACTTGAAACCTTGAAGCTAGTTTTAAAACGCTTAAACTTCTTTTTAACTTCTTCCTCAATCACACATTTACTCAGTGACCTAGGCTTCATGGATTTGCTCGTAGAGTCATTCTCATCCATTTATTCCTTTCCACGCTTTCTGTGCCTGCTTTAGTTCTGGCCCTCCTTCCAGGATTCCTTAGTAAGATTTAGAAGGACACTATGCCTTCTATCTCTGTCTTCCTAGATTACCAAATGTTTCTTTAGGTGTTAGAATAGTTAATGTTTCCTCTCCATTAGATTTTTTTTTTTTTTTTGAGGAAGATCAGCCCTGAGCTAACATCTATGCTAATCCTCCTCTTTTTGCTGAGGAAGACTGGCCCTGGGCTAACATCTGTGCCCATCTTCGTCCACTTTATATGGGACGCCACCACAGCATGGCCTGACAAGCGAGCGTGCACACTTAACCACTACGCCACCGGGCCGACCCTCTATTAGATTTTAAACATTAAATATTCATATCTATGAGTGGTTTATTTACCTTTCAGGACTATAACTTAAAAGATAAATTGACAGAGTAATGTAGGAACTTTTTAAAGACTGGCACTTTATAGTTTATTGGGTGCAACTGTAAAAACTCGTCACAGCCATGCCATCTGGTAACTAAATTTTCTGGTATTTTTGAAGTACAGCAAGAGGATTCTGAGTCATACATTGGATAAAAAAATGTTAGAGGAAACATTTATACACTTAGGTAAATACTTGTTTAGATGGAATATTCTTTAAAACTCTTTCTGCTAAATCACTTAATTGTTTGATCTACTTTTTTTTCTACTTTACCTTTTTCTGTACTGGTTATGATAAAGTGAAGCTTTTAATATGGTTTCATTTGTGGCAAGTGTCTCATTGCTTAGCCCATGGAATTAATGAGGCTAAGGACACTGGTCTGACTTCCCAATAGATCCGTTATCTTCCTGCTAGTCTGCAGTCACAGACTGTCCTTCAAACCCTGGCCAACCATTTCATAAATGTTAGTCATGAGGGAGACAGAGAAGGGGAGTCAGAATGGCTCATTGGTAAGTTAAGGCAGATGCCTCTCCAGAAGTGGTTCAGGAGTTTCGTCCTCTCCCAGAGACAAATAACTCAGCATTTATTTAATTTCCATAATTTGCTGCAGATTGCACCTCTATGGCCCTCAGCAGTGTTAGTTGCTATAGCTTTTTATCTTCTTTGGTCTATAAGCTGTTTTGCTTATTGAATCTACAGAGAGGAAGTGTGTTGAGATGAAAATGACATGGTTTTTGGAGTCAGACCCTCTGCTCTACTTCTATCACTAATTAGTTGTGTGCCCTTGGTTACATTTCTTAATATCCAAGTTTCTGTTTCATCCTCTGAAAAAACACCTACTTATGCAGTTGTAACAATTAAATAAGATAATGTATATAAGTCATCAATAACGGAGTACATGCATAGTGAATGCTAAGATTTTCTACTTGTCTTTTATGATACATAAATAAATCTAATCAATTGGTTAGGAAAGTTTCATGTGGCTACCATTTCTTGAACATCTACTTGGTGCCAGGCATGCTGCAAGGTGCTTTATATATATCATCTCTACTCCTCATGATACCCACAAAAGGTTATTTATAATTATCATTTCTTCTAAGATGAGGAAACTGAGATAAGTTGCTGCTATCTGGGATACATGGTTCTCACCTAAGCACAGTACACAGTAAATTGGGGATATAGGAGTATTTCTAGGGAATTGGTTTTCAAGCATTTCGGTTTACTAATTACCTGAAGGTGGGTAGCGAGTGTTTGTTAAAAAAGGCAGATTCCCGGGGCCCAACAGCAAGGATCCTGGATCTGAGTGGGACTCAGGAAAACGCAATTCTAACAAGCTGCCCATGTCATTTTGATGCAGTTGGTGCTTTGGAGGACATGGGTAAGTATCAGTTTTTGGATCATACCTTAATCTGGTTCACTTACCCCACACCCTAGGCTTTAAACTGTGGTAGGAGGAGGAGGATTCAGAGGTAGGCTAGCATCTGTGGGCTAACATTGAATTTGCAAAGGTAAGCAACACTCCTCACTCTCGATCCTTTGTCATCACCTCAAGATGATACTTCCATATGCCAGCTGCAGTTTTTGAGGTCTTTAGTCAACTGTTGTTGATCCAGGCTCAATTTAACTGTATCAGCAGCAAACAGATGAGGAAGAGCAGGGATAGGATCCTTACAGGATAACTCTAGCCGTTGTCCTGCAGAACTGTCACAAGCTGTAATCTCTTGCAACCTCAATTTTCTTAAGTGTAAATGGAGAAGACATTCATCTTATAAAATTATTGTAAGGATTACCACATTGTCTAGCACATCACAGGTATTTGAAAATGGCCGCTATTGTTATTATTTATTTATTTAATTTTGAGGTGAGATGTTAAACATGATAAGATATATTAAAGCACTCTATAAACAAGCTGTAACACTAGGAAACCCTTTCCTCCAACATAATCTTTTGGAGAATGTGATGAAAGCTATGCACCAGTGCCATCCAGTGAAAATATAATGCTAGTCACATAGGTAATTTTAAATTTCTTAGTATCCACATAAAAAATCAGGCAAAATTAATTTAATATATTTTATTTAACCAAATGTAAAAATCCTGTCATTTCAACATGTAATCAATATAATTTTTTTTTCCTGAGGAAGATTTGCCCTGAGCTAACATCTGTTGCCAATCTTCCTCTTTTTACTTGAGCAAGAGTGCCCTGAGCTAATATCCGTGCCAATCTTTCTCTATTTTGTATATGGGGACACCGCCACAGCATGGCCACTGACAAGCGGTGTAGGTCCGCGCCAGGATCAGAACCAGGCCACCAGAAGCCGCTGAACTTAACCACTACACCAGATACAAAAATTATTAATGAGGTTTTTTACATTATATTTTTCATACTGTCTTCAAAAGCCAGTGTGCATTTTTATACTTCCATCACATCTCAATTTGGGCACTAAACTTTCAACGGTAAAGTGAAATGTAGTCTTATCCAAACAGCAAAATTGTGTAACTGAAACATGTTACCCTGTTTCACTTTTTAAATTTAAATTAATAAAAATTATATAAAACAAAAAATTCAGTGCCCCATTTGCACTAGCCATATTTCAAATGTTCAATAGCCGCATAGTGGCCACTACTTTGGACAGAGGCATTTTGGACCTTTACTTCTAGAATTTTGTTTGCCCCTCTACGGGATTCATGGACCCCATGAAGTTCAGCCTTGCATTACACGGCCCTCGGTTGAGAATCGTCCTTTTCACATTTTGTTAGCCAAATCACAGTTTTAAAAAGTCAACCAGATACTTTCCGTATGTTCACTGAATATTATTCAAGTTGGCTTATGAACAAATTCCACTGGCCAAATTAAGCAACTTTATAGAAACTGGGAAGTAGGCTATTGACTTGGACTTGGAAAAATAACCTGAGGTTGTACAGTGGTTGAACCACTTCTGGCCGCTGCTCTCTATCACTGCCTTCTGGTGCGATCACAAGATTTAACTTCCAGACGTTAGGGTTAGCGATTTTCACCTTCCTGACAAGCAAACTTCAGGGTCTGCACTTCTCAGGGGACGTAAATAAGCTCTCTCAAAAACCAGGCAGTAGCCGCTGAACTTGCACAGACAGGCATTTATCCAAAGCCCCCTTCTATTTTTAGCTAGACCAACTGCTTGCCAATTCAAAGCTTCTGGAGACAGAAATGAGTCCACTGCAAAGCACACGCGCAGCAGACCTTTGCCAGGTACTGCTCGAAATCCCCTAAGACTGCTCCCACCGAAACTCGGTAGGGCAATTGTTTTTCCGCGGCGGCTTCAGGTCGCCGCAGCAAGCCCGCGCGCCAGGATCCCCGGTAGCCTACCCTGCCCGCGCTGGCCAACCTTGCCCGGCCCGGGGGCGTGGCCGTGGCGGAGGGGGCGTGCCCGGCCCGGGGGCGGGGCCGGAGACAGCCAGGAGGCGGAAGTTCCCGCGGGCCGTGGGGACGGCGCACGCAGCGCGAGTCACTTGTCAGCGCTCGTCTGAGGCGGAGGCAGCGCCGCGCCGGACCGAGGTGAGTGGCCGGCCGGCGGGATGCGCGTTTCTGATGCCTCTAGGGGAGGAGGGAAAGAAGCGATCGCCCTGCGCCGAGCGGGCGGAGGGCAGCCCAGCTGGGAAGGAGGAGGGGGCGCGCCTCGCGCGAGGGCTGCCCTTCAGGTGCCGTCTGGGGCCGAGCGGCGGAGGTGGGAGGGCGGCGTGGGAAGAGGAGCGCGCCGGACAGGGCGGTGCGGGAGTGGGCGCGAGGCCGGAGGGCGGCCCTGGAAGTCCCCGAGTCCGGGCCGGCGGGGTGAGCGCGGCGGAGGCAGGGACGCGGAGGGCTCCTGGGCACCCCCGCTCGACCCGCGGCTGGCGGCCGGGGCCACCACGTCCTGCGCGCATCTCTCGGGGTGTGGGGAGGAAGCGGGGCCGAACGGGAAAGGCGTGTTATTTTTTGTTTGCTCTCACGCTACTGAGAAGCGTGTGTTTCCTCCAAAATATTTACGATTGTGTAACCTGTTTGGGGAAGACTTCCCTGCGTCCCGAAATAAAGCTCGTTTAAAAAACACATCTGTCGTGCCTGCCAGATTTATTAATCCTTGCATCCTTGATGGGGCTTTTCTAAGACGGTGCCTTCGTGCGTTTGAGAATAAGTGGGAAAAGGAAGGGCGTCTCGACAGGGCAGAGCTTGAAAGAAGATTCGTGGCTGCGCTGGCCAGGGCAGGTCTAGGGTGTGCTCGCCGGATCCTATCCCGAGTCCGCCCTCCTGACCGTGAGGCCGTCGGGACCCGCCTGGCGCGGAAACAGCCGCTCGGGAGCCTTATTTGGCAAACAGGGCTAGGCGTGAACCTCTGCTGGGAAGCTGTCTCGGCGGCTGCTTTCATCCTTCGCTGCGGCTTTTCGTTCCTCAGCTCTGCCTCGGTTCTCTCTCAGTCGGGGAAAAGAGAAGCTCAGGATACTGCGCTTTCCTTTCAGGCCCTTCTTGTCACTCTGAGCGGTTCCCCTTTCCCCCTTGCCGCCCACCAGAGAAGCTGGGACAGAAGTGTGGGAAAAAGACTTTGTTTAGAGTTTCCCTGAAAGACAGTCCAGAACTAGACAGAAGTTCCAACATTTTCCATGTGTTTGAAAGCACAATAGGCTGCTCACTATTTCCTGCCTGCTTGGTATTTTAGGAAGAGTTTGGGCACTAATAACCAGATGGAGGAGACCTGGAAAAGGCCAATAATGTTACCATTGCTTAAGGATCGGAATATTTTAAGGCACGTGAAGGTAGCAGAGGGAGAATACTAGAAATAAAACGACACTGACAATACTAGAAATGAAATGACACTGGTTCTGTAGTGTGGCTGTGACCTTGTCAGTGCTAGAAATTTTAATAACAAATGGGAGAAATCTGGAAGGGAACTCCCAAGTAAAGGGAAGTTGCATGAAATATGGGTTGATACATAATTAAATACATTTTCTTGTAGGGAAAAATGGGGCCAGAGGAAGTTGAGCCTAACTTCACATTCTTCTCTTGACAAAAGTTAAAGATTAAAAAAGAAGGAGGAGGCAGGCTGCCTGTGAAGTCTGTTTGTTTCACATGCTTCTGATTTGTATTGTGTGCCCAAATCAAAACACTTTCTCTACTCTTTCTATGAAAATCTTCCCTTTTTTAGCAGGAAAGCAGTTAAATTGTGTGTGGCTCCTCATTGCCTCCCTGCTATTCGTCTGTCACGTATATCTAACAGTTGGACTTCTGGCTTGGGCTTTGGGTCTTTTTAGTGCTTGGTGCCTATTCCATCAGTACTGAAATAATGTCTTATTGCCTGGTCGCTTAGGGTACTACCATGCCAGTGGAAAAGCTCCTTTAGTTTCTAGGTAGATGCAGTGCAGATTTTTGCTGATTTAACTTTCTTTAAGTACTACACTTATTTAAAAGTTTTGCCTCCTTTTCCCCTTATGAGAAGATGAAATCTGTTTGCTTTCAGTATACCCAATGGTTCGAATAACTACACTGCCACTATTGGTTTGGTGTGATGGGATAGAAATTTTGAATGGGTTAAAAAAATGGAAAAATATTTTAAGACAGATATTAAAAGGTGATGATTTGCTTGAACAGTGCAGATTTTCCAAGGAAGTGTATTTTAAACAGCTTTTTTAGAAAAAATGTGGTTTTAAATTTATTAAATTATACATCTGTTATATTTCAAGTATTTTTAAGGAGGGAAATAGTATGTTTCTTAGTATTATATTTTAGAAAATCTCCATTCCTACCAATTTCTCCCATCCTCATGTAGCCACCATAACAACCAATACCAAACTCTTGAGTCATACTTTTTTTCTTTAGTTTTTTTATTATATAAAAGGACTACCATGCGAGTCATTATGAGCACACTTACAGCAAAACACAGAAGAAAGCACTGAAGCGCTGGTTCTTGTCTAAACCTCCAGTTCCCTGTCCTGCGTTCAGATTAACCTTTATTCCTACCACCTTTGGTCACGCTCATTCACCATGTGGTCAGTCCTCACACTCTTTTGCCTGATGAAGTGTCTGTATACAGCCAAAAGCAGGTTCTGACTGAAGTCTCACCTTGCTAGAGTATTGCCTGCCATTGCCTGTCGGAAGGAAAAGTCAGTATTACTTTCAGTGTGGAAAATGCCATGTCCCTCTAAGAGGAAATATAAATTGTAATTTATGATCAGAGGGAATAGTTTTGTGCATTTAAAAACAACTTCTATTAAAGAATGTAGTATTTGGAGAGGATGAATGCAAGTCTATGAATGTGCAGTCCTTTTCATATGTTAGAGTAACTTAGAATTTAAGTGAGTGAAATTGAAGGACTCTTGCCAACTATAGGCAAAAGAATGCATGAGGTAGAGGGAAGGGAAAATCATTTTGAATTAAACCTGAAATAAAATCTTGTTCTTTTTTATATATATAACGAAGTGTTGTAAAGTGCTTTGAGTTAAAGTTTGTATGCCAGAAGCCACAAATTGTACTGTAGCAAGTTGTAAAACTGATCAAGTGTCTAGAAATATAATTGTGTTGTGGAATTTTTAGACTATGGAAATTGGCATAAATTTAGAAATTGTATGTTAGCTCATAGATTCCTTTTCTTAGACTGAAATGAGAACTTAATATGTGCTTATCCTGTATATCCTGTCATCTCCCCAAAACAAAATACTGAACATTATCTAGTCGGGTTTATATTAAATACATTTAGATATGTAATAGAGTTTCAAATAAACATTTTTGTTAACCATCTAATTTTCTTTCACAGTCTCTATCATTTTCTGGGATTGGACTTTGAGCCGTTAGAACCATGAGCAACTACACCGTGTCCTTGGTTGGCCCGGCTCCTTGGGGTTTCCGGCTGCAAGGTGGCAAGGATTTCAACATGCCTCTGACAATCTCTAGTGTAAGCAAACTTTACAGATTTTATTACAGATGTTCATTCAGTGCTTAATATTGGAAACCTCAGCGCTGAGTTGTTGAATTCTTTGGATGACCTGTACTCTACTTATTACACTTGCTTATGGGATTTGATCTCAGCAAACTTAGTTATCTATAATAAAGGAAGGTGTGGGGAGGGAATTTAGCAAGGATAATTGATTTCAGTTAAGCTTATTTTCAATTTCCCCCCATCTTATTAATAATAAAGTGGAAAGCGTTTAACTAGAGAGCAGACTCCAAATCTTTGAACTGCCACTATTTGGGGAATTCTCTGGACTTTAATTTCATCGTATGTAATATTAGAAGGTTTCACGATGGAATTTTCATGGTCCCTTTCAACTCCAAAAGATGTTTATTAAAAACTGTTGATCAGTATTGAATAAAATGACTGTTTTTGGTGTTATTTCCTCAGCTTACTCTCTGGTGAAGGCGATAGCTGGCCACTTTACTGTTTGAAGAGGAATTCAAGGGCTTGTACCTCCAACTAGATAGTCAGCCCATGAGTAATTGAGATTTGGCTGTTTACCTCATTATGGATTTAGTTTGAATGTATTCTGTGTATATATTTTAAGGATCTGTTTTCATGAGATGATGATACTGATGAGGGGAGTAATTACAGCTTTCGTTTATTGAGGCTTGACGGTGTGTCAGGCACTTTCACTTTCATCACCAGTAGGTAATTATTGCTATTAATTACTTGTGTAACTTTCCAGAGGGTTTTTTTTGTTTTTTTTTTTGTTTATTCAAATAAATATGAGTATCTACTTTCGTTTTACTTATATGGTAGCATATTATACACACTGTTCCACACCTTGTTTTTTCTCAACAATTTACCGTGGAGAACTTGCCCTATTAATATATAAAGAGTTTTTTTGTTTGTTTGTTTGATAACTGTATAGAATTCTCTTGTAGGGAAGTAACATTTAACCAATCCTCTATTGAAGGGCATTTAAAGATTTTATTTATTTATTCCCCCCCCCAAAGCCCCAGTAGATAGTTGTATGTCATAGCTGCACATCCTTCTAGTTGCTATATGTGGGACGTGGCCTCAGCATGGCCGGAGAAGCGGTGCGTCGGTGCGCGCCTGGGATCCGAACCCGGGCCGCCAGCAGCAGAGCGCGCACTTAACCGCTAAGCCACGGGGCCGGCCCGAAGGGCATTTGTATTTGTTTCCAGTATTGGTGCTACAAATAGTGCTGTAGTGGATACCATATATACCTGATTTTATATATATATATAATTTTGATAGGTTGTGCCAATTTACACTTTTGTGCAATGCAGGAAAATATCAATACCCCTTACCCCCCAACAGCCTTAGCAGCAAACTTTTGGATTTTTGCCAAGTGCTTTGTATGTATCATCTCTCTTAATTCTCCTGCCAACCTGCGATATAGTGGTATTATTTCCATTGTATGGAACTGTGCTGTGAGCTCACATGGCTGATTGGAAGAGCTGGCTTTCAAGCCCTTATGCTATGCTGCCTCCCTGATAATAAACTTTTAAATTTGGGTAGATTATTTCTCTAATCAGATATTTAGAAGGTTATCATTTTGTTTAATTGTATATGTGAAAATATATATTTATACATACACTGCTTCTTACAGTATATGTATCCAACTTGATTTTGAAAAATTGAAAATAAATTTGTAACACATATCTCTGTGAATACTGCAAATCCCAGTTTACTAATGAAGTTTTCTTTGTTTCTTGGCTTTGTATTTTTAAATAGTTATCTTTAATTTATCACTAATTTTTGTCTTGATTCCAGTTAATCAGATTTTACAAGGAAACCCGTATATGTAATCCAGCCTGCAAGTTTTAAGATTTTTTGTGGTTGGATGAAATTTTAAATGTAAAGCAACCATGTGAAAATGTGTCTTGTGATTTATTCCTGTTTGAGCGAGGAAGTGTTTTTTTTCCTCCTACTGAAGATCTATTATGAGAAAAAGAACAATATTTGAATGTTGTCTGTTTTTATGTTCTGTTAACGTTATTTTATAATGTCTGAATATCCTACTTTATGATAATGGACTAAAGAAAGTTATTGATTAGTTTAAAATACGTACACTTTTGCTAAAAAAATAAAAGCCCAGAAACAAATTGACACCTGAATGAAACAAACTTAATGGTCACTGTTGTTTGGTAATCAAAATGCAAATGACATATGTAAATTTTGTGGCGTCATGCCCTTAAAAAAGTTTTCTGTGCTTCAGTTTCCTGGCAGACAGTTTGAGGCGCTAGCTCCATGTTGTGATGCTGATACAACAGGACACTGTGTACATACATGTGTGCCCTCCCCGGCGCAGAAGAAATGCTTTCCTCGTGTAGACAGAGTGCTAATTAAAGGATTTTGAACATACTGATTAAAAGAGACTATGGTAACAAAGCTGCTGAGTTATTTCTGTTCTCTTACAAAAGTCTCTACTGTCTCCTATGACCTTTTTGGGCCTTGTGCAGTGGGGCGTGCAGTTCATTCTGGACTGGAGAGGATGGGAAGGGGAGGGGGAGGAGAGAAGGGAATGTTGGCTCAACTGTGGCTAGGCTGTTGGCCTTTCATTGTAGTTATTTTTAACCCCTTGTGTGGTTCAGTTTAAACATGGCTAGTAACATTGCCTAATAAAGATGTGTGCCTAATAACTATTTTATGTTGGTATAGTAAGATTATTAATGTTATACCTTGTCTTAATTAGTTCTCTAGTTCTATTTATTCTGCCTTAATTATGTAAAATTATTGTGCTATTTCAGTAGTCACCAGATTATTTAACTAATAGTATCAAGAAGCAATTAAAACCTGAAAATATGTGTTAAAACATATAATTTAGTGATTCTCTTATTTTAATAATGTATATGAAATTCTTAGCAAGGTCTGGCACGTAGTATTCTCTCAGTTATCTTTTGCAATAAAATTATAAAATTAAAAAGAAAAAATTATTTAGAGACTTGAGATATCAAGTCCCTCATAATTGCAGGAAATATAGCAGTTATATTTTTTTACTTACAGTCTGTTGGAATTGAAAAAGAAAAGAAAAACACAGCTTGTTGTGTGCTTAGCTAGGAACCTGCATCTTTATATTTAAGAGTTCAAAAATATTCAGTTTTTCCTCTGGTCAGGTATTATTATGTTGAACTCCAAAGGACTATTTATGTTCCCTTATAACATTAGAACTCTGTGATAGCAAATGTATTTGAGATAAATAAGTCATTGGCTGGGATTTGAACATTCTGTTTTCTTGAGATTTTTCTTATTAGCATATGAATATGCTGAATATGACTGTATCTCAAAGCATATAAACTATAAAATTTTAACATTTCACTCACATTTGTTCATTACCTATATTGTATGTTTGCATACTTTTTTAATAGGTGGATTCCTAAGATAAGATTGGTAATTCCTGCAAACTTTTAAAAAGATCCTCAGATTGCTGTAACTACCTGATCACATGTCGTCTGTAATTTCCTATCCTTAAAATGGAGTGCTGGCTACAGGAGTCCGCAGACTGTCTTTTTATGACCCTATATTTATGGAACTGCCTTGAAGCCATGGAATGTGGGGATGGGTTTCGTTGTAGCAGTGTGGGTTTGTTGGTCTTTGCCAGTATATTTTATAAGAAGAAATAGGAGACTTGTTGCACAATTCAAGGCCCTATTTTGGCAAGTTGATGTTCCTCGTGATGGCGTTACAAGAAGGATAATATTTTTGTGAATCACATCTTTTAAGTACAGCATCCTAAAGTTGAAATACTCTGCTGTGTGTTATTTTCTGATGTACGATGTTAGAGTTTTTTTCTTAAATGTCACTATTTGGATTTCCTGAAGGTAATCTGATTCTCCGTAAACACATCTCTGACCTTTCTTTAGTAGATAAGAAGGAAGTCAGATGATTTAATACGTAAATAATAATGACTTTGATTCTCAAGCGTTAGGGAGGATCAGTTGTTACCAGCTCAAACAAGATTTTAGTTGGATTTGAAAATCAGAAATAGTATACTATTTCCTGGAGTTTGGAGCCCTGTTTGGGAATATAAGAGAGAACAGAGAAAGACAGAACTGTGGAACACTTTGGTGTGAATTCATGCATTCAGCAGTTAAAAGGAATACTTCCCAGAAGCCATTGAAGAGGTTTACAAAGTATTGTGGAATACAAAGGTTGGGGAGAAAGAATAAGTACAGTACTAGAGACAGTGTCATAAGACCTGTCACAGGACAATATTTGATGAAATGACAAAGATAGAGATAAGGGTTTCTCAGTTTCAGTGGGCATAGAGCTTTTGTATTTGTGAGGGTTGGCTTCCTACAGGAGAAATTAATTGAACTGGTCCTTGAAGGATGAAATTTGAACATCTCCAAGTCAAGATTTTTCTGTGTTGGTTTTCAGTGCCAAGTGAAGATGAAGACTTTTTTTTGCCATTGCTTGACTCAGTGAAGCTGTGAATGTAGTTGAATGATTCTCCAGACAGGCCAGCTGCAGAGTTTTCCTCCTAGAGGAGGATAGAAAGAGCCTTTCAGTCCTCTCAAACTGAAATGGGAGAACCATCCTACCTTGAATAAATGGGCCCATTGTTAATTTTAAGCTGTTGAGTATTTTCGTTTACATTCCCTCCCAACTACCCTGTCATTATGCCAAGTTAGAAAGTTAATAATTTTGTTCGTGTAACTATATAATGTATATTTCACATGTATGTTCACTGTCTACTTTTAAAATATTAATTACCTTTTGTGTGGGGCTCAGAGACCTGTTTTTTCTATGTGGCAGTTTTCTATAACTTGTGGTCACAAGGGTCAAGAATCTCAAGATAATTCTGAAGATATTTTTCTGGTCTGTTATTTGTAAAGAAATGAAAATCTTATCAGTATGTTTTATTGCAAATTAAGAGTTTAGAAAAAAGGGTCTTGCTAATTTAGATTTTAATGAATGCTGGGCATTTTGGAAAGTTATTTATTAAAATAAGAGGACTTTTACTGGTA